GGAAAAACCTCAGAGCACTGTCTTGCGGCGGGCGGGTGCCCCATGCCTGCCAAAGACCGCGCGGCTATTGAGCACTCACAAGAAAAGCAGCAGTGTTCGACTAACAGGCCTGGAGCAGGGAAGAAGACCGGGCGACGAGATTTTGGTCATTTCGCTTGCACCTGTCTCGGGGGGGGGAAGTGTGTCAGGGATTACCCCCCCGACAAAAAGCAAGCACAGGGAGACTGTCTGCGGTAAGCAAGTACACACGGGCCAGTACACCGAAGTGCTGCAGCTTTTATTGAAGCGACCAACAACTACTGACATCAACAACTTCAACACCCAACACGAAACATCAACAACAAAAAACAAAACAGTGCTGCAGTCTAGCACCGGAAAACAACAACAGCAAGGAAATATCACAACAACAACGATGGTATCGATAGGATCGAAAACAACGCTGCTAACCTTAGCCGGGACCACGTTCGGGTTCTGCATGATCGCGTCCCACCATGCCGTCGTCGGCCCGCCGTAGTACTGCTCGCGGTAAGCCTTGGCGTACCTGCAAAATAAAAAAAAGAAATCACGGCATTGGGCGGCATGAGCTACGCACCGTCACCGCCGTCTCGTGCTAAAACGCAGCTTGCCAAGAGCAGCAGGGTCGCCAACGTCATCATCGTGCCAACAACGGCATCCGCAGGGTTAAGCTACACGCCGTCACCGTCTCGTGTAAAACGCGACCAGCACGAGCAACGGCATCAGCAGGGCTAGGCTACACGACGGCATCATCCTGCGAAAGTGCAACTTGTAAGGGCAACGGCATCGGCAGGGCCACTGGCGGGGAGCAGTCTCGCCCATGCAGCATCGTGCCCGAAAAACCGACAAGGTCGTGTTGGTGACGCGATCATCCACTAGAGCTCAACAGGAAGACCCTTGCTTCACCATGACAAGCTCACAGTACAATCTGCTGCTGTGCCCTCCGCAGTGCCGAAGTGGCTGGAGATGATATACCTAGACTATCATAGTCTCCATAGAGTAGATGGGACGAGCTATTATAAACACTCAACACTTGCTCAAACGTCCTATTCATACTCCCGACATCTCCTGGTTGTGGGCATTACAAGCGCCCTTGCGGGAAGCACATCGGAGGGACAAGATGTGCCGTAGTTAGAGCCCAAGCGCCAACAACAGCATCAGCAGCCCGCAATGATCTTCCAGAACCAAAGCTTCAGCATTTTCGTCAGCGAAGCTGGGATGGCAATTGCCCAAAAGCTACAAGAAAAAAAATCCGAAAAACTTACATGACGTCATCTTTGGCGACCAGGTCCATCTCCGCCGTGAGACCTACCATCAGTTACCCCGCCGTAGAAACGGTCGGAAGTTTCATAAATTGCATGCATGAAAAGAAGACGGAGGCACGAGAGGGAAGGTGGGATAGTCAAGATCTGCTGCTGTTGCTAATGGTGGTATGTCGTCGTAGTCGTTGTTGTTGTTGTTGTTGTTGTTGTTGTTGTTGCTGTTGTTGTTGTCACTGCTCATGTCTACTGCTGAAGTCGAACACCTCCATACTGCCGTCCTCACCCGAGAAGATGGCCAAACGAGTTCCGGGGTATGAAACTGCGGCGGTAGCTGCTTCGTTTTAGCAATCGAAACGGCCTGCAAAGAGCATGATACTGCAAACCCTATGCGGAGGAAGCATCGAATAAATACAGCACATCACGGCACGGTGACGTACGACACGACAAGCCGACCACCACCTGCCACATCACCCCCAATCCCAAAAAACAACACTGGTAGAGCAAACAAAAAAAACACGATGTAAGCAGGCGGTAGAAGCAGGGAGACACCGCGCTCTCACCGTTAGGGCCACTCCCGAGAGTGATGGAGAGGTGAGGCACGTCAAACATCGGCATGACCTGGTGAGTTCCAGGAGAACGTGACACATGACGCGGCGGGGCGAAGAACGCAATCGGCGAAGGTAAGTCAACGAACGGAGAAGAGGACGTACGTACGACTGCTGTTTATGCCGCTTGGTCGCCCAAAGTGAACCTTGTGTCGAAATCGTTTCTGTCATTTATGGGCCAAAGTGAACCTTGAATCGAAATTTCGGTGTCGCCCTACGTGCCGTGCCCCAACCGCGCCGTACGCCCCGCGCAGAGACACGCATGCCACCGACGACACAGGTCCGCAAAACAAAAACAAAAAACTCCAGTTTTTTTATTTTATTCCTTTTTCATGAATAGGGCCCAAGGTTGTAGTTGAGTAATCCCGACTTGGAAGTAGTTTTTTTTTCCTACATGCATACAGTAGGCCGCAGGTTGCAAGTTGAGTAATGTCGACTTGGAAGTATGGCCCTCTTCGGGAAGTAACTGCTGAAAACAAAATAATCATCATAAAAAAACACATGGTGGGGAGACCCCAAGCGCTACGTGTTAGAGCGAGGGGGCTAGAGGGGCCCGGGGCGCTCCCAATCGCTAAATAAAAAACTAGCTGTCCAGGATTCAGTTTTTCTCGCAACTCTTCAGAAGTCTCAAGAGAAAAGCCGACACTCAATATTTGTAGGGGGGGGGGGGCACGACCCTATTCGCATTCCCTCTCGGGGCTAGGTGTGCCACCAGGTGAGGTGAAAACTCCTAGTGATTAGTGATGTATAAACATCGCTGGCACTCGATAGAAACGTGCACTCGGCTTTGAGGCAAGCCCTTCCCCAAGAGAGGATCCTGAAGACTTCCATGCTACAGCAGTGCAAGTGTGCTGACTCGTACGAGCATGGGGGCGAGCGCTACGCTACGTTCGTCGTCTAAGGACTCACCCACGCCCGCAGGCACTCGCGAGTGCTACCGTCAGGCTCGTTGATGGTGCAGTGGGACACCCAGTCGACCTGCGGCGGGCAAGAAGGAGAACTAGGAGAGCTTATGGACTCGTTCGTTTGTTGGCGATGCCTTCAAACGTTTCGGTCGTTTCTTTGTCTGCAACCGTTCGATCGGGGGATGGTGCCACCACCATGCTGGTCTTCAACAGCAGCCCCTGGAAGAGACAGCTGCCGCATGTTTGGTCGTGGCTTGTTGAAGTATTCTTCAGCTACGTGCGAGGGGGTCACTTCCTGCTTGGTTACAGAAGCAGAATGGACGGTTTTGAAGAGAATGCGACAATATTTGGGTATTGAAGAGGGTGGATAACCTGAATCTTATAAACTTGCCGCTAGGCATACCAGCTCAACGTTCAGAGCTCTCTTGTTGGAAATGACATGTAGCACATCGGTCACATCTGATGTATGCATACGAGAGCTCAACCACAGGTTAAGCACTTGACCCTTTTACATAGGAGGGCACATTACAAGACGCAATCAACCGTTTCGGGGCAGCATTATTTATAATCTGTATATAATTGCTGCATTTTCTGCAAACCTTCCTCCCCTTGAACCCCGCGATCGTGCCGCTGCTTCCCGCGGCCTCCCAAGTTTCCAGCCCCATCGCCTCCGCGTGGTCGAGCGGGGAGAGCTCTAGCGCTTGCTCCACCATCGAAAACGCCGCAGCGAACCCGGCGCCGGCTGTACGTCGGGGGGGCGACACGTTGCGGCAAACGACATCATAAGCTGTGCCATGCCTGCAATTAGGGCCAGGTTCCTGCCCACTTATAAGCCGTTGTTTTAGATTTGTAACCAGGGGGGCGGGTAGACTGTTTGCAGCGTTGCCGCGCCACCAGCTGCTTCCCAGCTGGTGGCGTGGTCCAAGTCCACTCGCCCACTCGCTGGAAAATGCCCCGCTCGCGCTCCGCGGTAGCAGGGTCTCTCGTTGGCGCTCTGGGGCGGTAGCACCGCCGCCCCTACTGGCGTCGTCCGCCACAACGTCGCCAGGCTCCTTCTTCTTCATCGATGCACCAAGCATGGTCACCACCTGCGAGAACTGGTCTTCCAGTCTCGCAAACCTCTCTTCTCCGACCGGCAGGTGCGTGCGCGGGGTCTCTTCCACCGCTGCTGCGGTGCCGTCCAGTTCACTCATCCTCGATGCGGTTTTCCGGGAGTGGCAAGAACTCTATAGAGTGTTTGCAGCCTTACCGCGTACTTATCGAGGTAGACTTGTTTGAGTGTTGTATAGCTCCAGGAGATGAGACAATGCCCGTACCAGGGCACGCCGTCAAGACCGAGTGCTATTATAGCGTGCCAGCACAGCAAGCAGGGGGGTCCCCGTGCACACCATCTGTGTATCACAAAAAACGTATCGCCGAGATATTCAACCATATCCGTAGACCCACCAGCATAGACTACAGCAGAAGCGCCACATGAGACCGCGATCACCAAACCCTCCCGCCGCCCCGCCCAAGATACGGCCTATTTAGACAGGGAAAAACGACAACAGATATTTGGCGCTCCTGTTCCACAAGGTCGCGTTGAAACGGACGTACCTCCCGCGCCCCCACCCCCACCCCCACCAGCCATCGGCGGCGGCGGTGTCGGCGCGGCCGGCGACGCCGGCTGAGACACTTGGCCAGGATACGACACTTGCGCGGGAGATGATACTTGGGTCGGAGATGATACTTGGGTCGGAGACGACACTTGGGCAGGATTTGACACTTGCGCGGGAGTGGACACGTGCGCGGGATTCGACACCTGCGCGGGGTTCGACACGTGGGGCGGCGCGCCCGGGTGCGATACTCGGGCGGGCGCGCCCGGGTGCGACACTTGGGGTTGCGGGTCCGCACGCGGCGGCGCCCACTTGGCTCCGCTCGGCTCCCACTTGCCTGCTGCATTGAATCGAAACGTGGATACATACGGAGGAAAGGTGCACAGGGCGAGAGCAGCGGCCGTGCTGTTGAGCCATCATGCACGAGAAAGGCACTACTGTTGCGAGAAAACGCAGGTGGCACACTGCTGTTGACTACAGACCTCGTGGCACTGCGCCCTCTTGTGTGCTACCTGCTGTTACGGTGTTTTTAGGAGCTGGGATTGATTCCTTGGGAGAGAACGTGGAAGGTGCGGAACATCTGCTTGTTGCACCGCGTTTCGCGGAAAAACACGTGGGCGTTGGCGTCTCGCGCGAATACGTGCGCACCGCAAACAAGCACCATTGTGCTCCTTACGCAAAATATACCAATCCATGGACCAAGAAGCAAGCAAGTGGGCGAAGCTATGCTGCAGTGCACAAAGAGAACGCTCGACCCGTCCCCAAAGTCACAACGGATTGCGTACACACGGCGAAGACTATTCTACTGCTGTATACTTCCAAGTACATATTTGCGTACGTACAACATTTTCTACCTGCCATGCGCATGATCCGGTGGGAACGCATGTTTCCCGTCCGAGCCGTGCCAGCGTGGAAGCCAGCACCTCCGTGAGGAGATCCCGCCATGACCACCAACGCTACACTGCAAGCAATCTTCATTGTCCTCGAGTTGTCGGGTGCACAAGTGCAATTGAGGGAAGAAAGTGACTACGCTGCTGGGAGAGCAACTACGGATGTGAGAAAAAAAAAATAGTCGGGGTTTGTACGAAGGGCGGAGGAGCATGTTTGTTGAAACCGCCCAATCTTTGGCCATCTTCGCGCGCGCGCGTTGGCTACTTCTCGGCAAAACACATCATGTTCTCGGCGATATTTTCTTCTGAGATGAAGATGCCTTTGAGCTGTTGAAGGCAGGAGACTGGAGCAGGGACACAGGGAATACATGCGAACTGCGCTGGGATAGGCCTGGGACGGCACACATCCCACGTGACAGATCACTCCGAACGTGCGGCCGAACACAGACAGACACGATCACTCACGCGGACCAGATACTCTACACATTTGGGTCGTGGATTCTACAAGAGGCATGAAGTCCGGCAGCAAAATTCACTCGCTACAAGTCACCACGCACGAGGACTGCATCGCTAACTCTGACAGGCTCAGCGGCAGGCAACAAGACGCCCTTGAGAAAGGCACTACCCGCGACGGAGGCCTTCCGCGAGCTCGCGGCGGCAACACGACGCGAGACCTAGCGGCAGCACCAGCACAACATGTCGACCTAAATCCTGATGAGCTCACGGTAGAAGTTCCCGGCCTACGCGTCCATGCGCCCTGGCCGGGGCTGCACGGGGCATGCGAAGGATGCGGTGCGCCGAGCGTGAGTGGACTGGGGTCGGGCCCGACCGAATGTGAACACTGCCGCCGGCAGATCCCGGGCGGCGAGGGAGGGTTCCGGGGTAAATCGAAAGCACCGGCCGCCGCTGCTGTGGGAGGAGGAAAAGCAGGAAAAGCCGGCGTGGTGGCTGTTACGTCCTCTCGGAAGGTTGCCCTCAGCGATGAGCGAGCGAAAGCCCTGGCCTGGGCGGGGGGCGCGATGCTGACGACCTCTTCGCTGCTGTTGCTTCTGCTGCTTGTTACTTGGTGAGAGAGCCATGACAGCGGGACTATTTTCTTCAAGTGCAGGACTCCGTGTGCATAAGAGACCGTTTTCGACATAAGACGCCCATGAAAGCCGATACAATATGTATGTGTCGACGTTTGCAGGTTGGATCGGCGGGGCGAGGTGTTGAGCGAGCTTGGCCTACTCCAGAACAGGATAATATTTGTATCGGTTCAAGGTCTGAGTGTAGGCTGACCGCAGATAATTGCAGGTTGCTGCTTTCCTTTGCTTCTCTTCGTGCAACCTGTCTTGCCATCTTGCATGGACTTCGTGCACCACATAACTCTCAACCAAACACCAGTTTTCACATGCTGAAATGGCTGAAGACAACTTTTGGTGAAGTTCCGGCATATCTATCATGTCGTCATTCCATCCTAAAACACCAAGGACACTGCTGTAACGCACCACAACACGGCCACCTCCATACTTCAGACTACATAACAGTGGTAGTGGCACTTCTCCATGGGTCTGGGTTTCTACACTACTCAACAACAGCAAGGGCAGTTTTCGGTACTCGTACAGGCTGCCCCGCAAAAAACGTCAAGCCAAAACGCGTTGTCTCAACGCCACATGGATCCGCGGTACAAATCGTATCTGGCAATAACTTTCAGTTTACCATGCACTCAGTGCTGCCTCCCGCAGCCCTTGTCCCAGATCAGCGGTTGGTCGCAAGCGGTGAGAGAACTACTCAACACTGATATAAAAGTCTACATCACCCAAACACACATGACCGTAAACTCCCGTCCGCATCGACGTGTTTTCGAACTACTGTACACGTAACTCAACTTTATGCTTGACTCCGGTTTGACTTCTAGTCTACTTGGTGAACCGAGTTCGCGGAATGCAGCGACCGGCTCCTCGAGAGTGTGCTTCGCTCGAACTGAGAACGGGAAGACACGCATATCGTGGTCGGCTTCTCTGACCTTCGCTGGTCACTTACAGCCCATGCCATGACCCTTTCACACATGACCCCATTCTAAAGAATGTCTACCCACCTGAGCGCAACAACGTATACACATCACTCCTGTGGTTGTCTCGTGCGTGCGTGACGAAGACACCCCGAGTGTTGTTGGCTAATTGGTATGTTTCCCTGGCAGAATCGCTCGTCACCCGTTCACTTTTGAAGAATTCGAGCATAAAGACGCTGAGCGAGTCGATGCAACAACGCGTTGAACGTACACGCACCGCCCCTCCGCTACCTGTTTGTACCCATTCTCCCCAAAGTAACCGTCTTCCCACCCCCCTGTCCAACTCCTCACCCGACAACGCCTCTTCTGGCTGGATGCCCGTCTTTGTCTTCCAAAATACAGGCGAGGTATCCCCTTTTCCCTATTTTCTGCGTTGTCGCCCTGGCTGGCGATCTACCTGCCGATTCCCCTCGGCTTCCTCAACGGCGGCTGGTCTGTGCACTGTGCCAAATCCGGACACATTCGGCACCACAGCACCGGCTCTTGTGCGTCACGCGGCGGGATGTGTGGGACGGCCTGGGGGTGCTCGGGGCCATCCTGCGCCCTTAACCTAGGTGAGCTCCGTTCACCTTAAGAAAAGTGAACGTACCTGTAGCATAAGGAGGTCTATATAACCCTCATCTGATAAAAGTCGCGCCAAGGAGGAATCTCGAAAGGCCGCTGTAGTAGGTATTTGTTGCTCGTAGGGGGAGTCCTATGTTTCACCAATAATGGGCTCGAAACAGAAGGTGCGCCTAACGTAGCAAATTTGTTTCATCACAAGTGCGGTACCAAGCGCCATGCGGTCACACGATTCACCCGCGCGTGTCGCCTGGTGCGTTTCGCACACCCCACCTCCAGGAGCCGAACTTCCGTCGTGTCTCTGACAAGCGCCACCCTTTCTCTCACCTGACATGACTCACTCAGAAGATGTATGTCTCAAAATCGCACGACATCCCCTTTTTTGACCTGCGACGATCTCTTCGTCGATCGTTCGGTCGTGTGGAGGGATTGGCGCATGTTTCGTGCGAGTGGTAGACATCTTCTGAGAGAAACATGTCAGGCAAGATAGAGGGTGGTGGTTCCCAGAGAGACGTTGGAAGTTCGGCTCCCGGAGGTAGGGCGAGTAAAACGTCGCAGGCGGCACTAGCGGGTGAATTGCGCGACTCCAGGGCGCCTGGTACGTTTGACCGCTGATACGATGTTGCTTTACTTTGTCGGAATCCGTCTACGTCCTCCTTCACACAACCACGCGGGGTGAGTGGCACGTACATTTTTTTCAGAAGCATCCCGGCTGAGGAGCAGTATCCATCCCCTTTCATGTGCAGGCCTAGACCTCGGATTGCTGATCACAGCGGTGCTTGCTGCTCTACCTGCTGGAGCGTCGGCGAGGGGATGCGACTACGACTGCTTCTGGCTGCTCTGTTTTCCTTGCGCGCCTGGCGGCGGGGAGGGCATGGCTGCGGCCTTGGTTTTGACGGCGCTCGGCCTAGCGTTTGCGGCCGGGTTCAAGATGTGGATCATGGCCCCGGCACTTCTGTCAGGGCTTAACAGCGAACAAGACTTCTTGCCGTGGTGAAATGGACGAGCAGCAAGAGAAAAAGGCTGCCCGATCGCGTGATTTCGGATTGTGGATTTGACGGTGAACACATCTTGTGTTTGTTTGCCACAAAGCTCCTATAGTGCATTTACAATAGAGTAAGAACGATACATAAGCCTGGTTACTGTGATAAGTGGGAAGTCCCCCCTAAGAATTTTTTGATAGGCTGATATTCCGATATGATGGTTCGGAAAGTAAGACCCGCGCCGTCTGAAAAGTAGTTTGTATTAGTACAGATTCTGGCAGTCGAGTCTAGACTATTTTTATTTGTTCAACGTGAAGTTCGGTTGTTTTTATGGTGCGTGAGTTACTGTGATGGTCTCCCAGTTTTATTTCTGTACTACAGCTATAAATTGAGTAAATATATGCGTAATTCGGGGGAGGCTAGCCCCATCATGCGGAGTCACTCTTGATCACGAAGATGAGCTGCTTTCCAACGACTCCGAAACACTCCTACCTCCTTTCGTTCGCAAAGCAACACAAGAGCTACGAATACTGGCCAGAAGAAAGCAAGGCAGTTTACCTTATTGTGCTCAGTGACTTGCTCTATATCCAACTTTAACAGGCCGTGCACATCTATCCAGCTTAGTCGGCCACGCGTGACAAAGCGAAAAGGACTGGTGCACCAGACCAATTCTTATTTTTTGGAGGCGGGCCTTGCGCAAAGTCGCTGGCTTCCTGTTCACGTCGGCCACCTTCCCAATAGGAACAAGCATCGATCTCCCGAATGTTGCGTTCCTGCCTCATCCTTTTGTCGTCGAGGACGAAAGGGGCAACTAGCTGCAGCAGCACAGGCGAGAGCCTCTCAGAGGAAACAAACGTCCATTCATTATGCATCATGTTTTATTTGTTGTTGTCGATCGCTCTATGTAGTGTATACTGTTCGGCCCTACGCAAGCAATTAAGCCTTGTGATGTTCCAAATCACATTTGTTCCTGTAGGCACAAAGAGGGGACGTGGCACGTACGTAACTTCCAAGTTGGTATTCGATTACACACCACCTCCCTTTGTTCGTTTCTAACTGCTGCTGTGTATATATACGAGCTCCAGTACAACTACAGGCAAATCCAATTTGATGAATGAATGAAGTGATGAATCAATCAAAATATCGTGAAAATAGTTTCCAGCCTAAGCAATCCATCCATACCCTGCAGCAAGCATTGCCTCGTTTGTGACTGCGTGGCACACCGCAACGATGTTTTTCCTTCGCCACCAAGCGAGCCGACCTCCTTTCTCTCATGGTAAGTCGCCAATCAATGTATCTTTCTTGCGAGTCGACCACACCGACGACTGACTGCTGTGAGTTTGTTTTTCTCTTCCCCAACAACGATATAAAATACCCTCCCGCAGACAAGCATCCCAAGGATGCACCAAAGATGATTCAGTATGTACGTGATCAACCACGGGTGCTTGCTTGAGTACATACTACAAGCAGTATGCGCGCATGCCGTCGCACAATCTTGAAATCTTGAATGCGCGATGACACACGACACATCATCCGAAAAACGCAGCCGTTGGGGGGGGGGTTGTCGAAACCGCGTAGCCCCTTCTCTTTGGGAATGTTTTGTTGTGGGGTTGCCGCTCGTATTACGCCTTCACGCACACGCACGTTCAGCTCTTCTCTCTTTCGCAACCAGAGCATACACCATGAAGACTGCCGCACTCTCCCTCGTTGCGTTGACTTGCTCTTGCGCGAATGCCTTCACCGTGTCCCCCGCTGCACTGAGGTGAGTCGTCAGCAGAGCACATGAATGATGAGCGAAAAACGCGACAACGTCACTCGTTTGAGGGAAGTCCTACCAGTAGGAGAGAGAGAACACCGCACGGCAGAGCCCTGCTCGGCGGGGCGGGTTGCGTCGCAGCTCGCCGACGGTCGTTCGCGTGCGGTCTCTCTCACGTGCCGTGGTGTGTCTGGGCACAGGGTAGGCCGATCACATTCAGGAGCGAAAACATGTGTGTTCACCCCTCCTCTCTCTAGACGTATCCTCTGCTCAGTCAACTTTCAACTCTTGAGAGATAGGGGCGAACGGTCCCCTTGCGTGTGGCAGATGCAGCGGCCCCATCCCCCTCCTCCGCCCGGTAAATCCCGAGAGAGACACTGTGGTAGCGCTGGGTGCGTTGATTTCGATGGCTCGCTGGCCCGTTTCCGACAGCGCGCTTTAGTTGATGTGCGGATCATCTTCCGAGTTGGGTGGAGTAAGCCTGTCGTTGAATAACACCCCCACTGTCTGCACCACTGACTGACACCGAACACAGGTTCTTGTTTTGACTTTTAGACTATTTAGCACGCGCTTGTGGATTTCAGCTCTCGGAAGACGAAATCCGGTTTAGATGAGTGCATGATTGCTGCAAACTGCTTGTGCAGCACACCCGAATGCTTGTGCCACAGGCAGCTGTAGCAACGCAGCACCCCCGACAAGGCAGTCATGCCCCCAAACATGCCCATCAGGCACAATCATCTCTAGGTAGCTTGTAGTGCCGAATCTGGCCTCGCTGATGTTTTTTTTGGATACATGTACATGAAAAAATGAAAAAACGTCACGATCTCTGCAGTGGTATTGTATCCTTCTATGCATAGTCTAACACCCGTACTGATGGAACTGACGCGTGAGGGTCAATATTGTTCAACTTAGTGCTGTCAGGGATCCCTACTCCCTGCGCCGAAGCGGTTATTGGTGTACGTCGTAGCCGGCGCAGACTACAATTTATACAGCAGTCGCCTCTAAGGATGCCTTAAATATGAAATCAGCACAAGTATCTATCTATGTTAGAGTCACAGATTGGAGATAAAAGATAGGAGATAAACCGCAACCACGCACATCGGGAACCCGATGACTGCCTAGAAGAAGTCGTGCTCGTTTTTTTTTTTGGCGTGGTTTCGTTGGCCAACCGGATAGGGTGGACACCAACGATATAACTAAGAAACACACAGGCAGTCAGATGTCTCAGATCATGGAACGTTGTCGGGCCAAACCAGCTTGCACCAATCTGTGGTAGGACAAAAACCCTTGTTGCCCGTTGTTCTATGCCTCAGCAAAATGCGGTGTACCTGCACGGCGTGAAATACTGCAGCCTTGGAGGTTCATTGAATTGGGTAGTGAGGAAGGAACTGAATCATGGACGAGCTGTACATGTATGCAGCCTTGCGGTACTCTACTACATACCTCGCCATCCAGAATGAGCCCCGGAACGACTTACGAAGTTGGATTTTCGCGGAACAGAAAGGGGAGAAACATCATATGGCAGCAAGGATATCGGGTATCTTCCTTCTTATGTAGTTGTACAGCACCCCGCTAGATAACTGGACACCTGTAACCGAGAACTCTCCTGCGGTCGGAAGATTTTTTCGAACAACAGCATTTCCCCCCGAAACATTTTCCTGTGTCTCTTCATGGTGCTGCTTCTTTTGCTGGCGTTATCCTCCTAATATCCCCCTCCCCCCCCCCCCCCCCGCTCAAAATCCCGCAAATTCCGGAAACCAGCGCGCGGGCCCCACAACACCCCCCCATCAAACACATCTCTTCGCATGGGGGGGGCCCCCCAAGAGGGGGAATTTCTCCCCCCCCAAAAAAGGGTGGGGGAAAAACCGGGGGAAAAAAGGGTGCCCCACAAGAAGGAAAAAAAAGAAAAAGAAATCCCGGAAGAAGGGGAATGCGTTTCCAAAAAGGGTGTTTAAACTTTTGGCCCGTGGAGCAAATTTCCCGGGGGGGCGCCTTAACAACCTGGGGGGGTTTTTTTTTTTGAAGTTTCCAGGCAGTAATTTTATTTGGCTTTGGGCCCCTCCCCCAATTCACACCCCCCCCCCCCCACCAAAAACCGGGGCCCTGGAGTTCTGCCCCAAAAAAAAAAA